TAAGTGCTGTAGTCTTTGTGGAAGCCAAAACATTGCATTTTCCTGTGTTCAGATGATCAGTGAATATCTTAGAAGTTGCAGTCCCTGATCATTAACTGCAATATCTGTCCATTATTTTTGCTTCTGAATTTTCCTTCTGTAGTAGACTGAAATTTCCATTTCATGCTTTTTATGCCCTGTGATACAGACACAAGAAACGTGCAGCCAGAGTCAACTGTGCTGGCATAGAAAGCAGAGGAGAACACTGGATGCTAAAAAGAAAGCAGGCAGACAGAAATGGAGAATTTGACCCCAAGGGGAAGCTCAGGGGAGTGCGAGCACTCAGGGGCTGTGTCGGGCTCTCCTAACACTGGGCCTTCTCCTGTCTTTTGTGGGGCTCATGGTGTCAGAAAGCTCTCGAAGAGCTAACAGATGCCACTGCTTCAGATCCTCTAATTTTAGTTATCATGACCAAGCAAGTGGAGGGTGTTCAGTGCAGAAACAAGCACTGCAGAGTACAGGTGCTCAGTGGTGTCACATGCGGTCAGCCAGCGTGGCTTTGTGGGATTTGTATGGGCCTCTTGAGTTGCAGCCACAAAAGCATTTTGCTGACTTCTCTGTCGCTGAAAAGGTGCTGCACCACTCAACTACATGTTATACCCATGATATATATATCTATTCATATGTGGTTAATGGCATAAGTAACTCTAGCTGTCTTTTGGAAGATTGTGCTCCTTCTGTATTTCATTAGCTAATAACTTTTTGATAACTGAGTCATCAGATTACAATAAAAGAATAGAAAAATATTTTTAAGAGTTAGAATTTTAGCCAGTGTCTGGCAATTATGGAGGTACTCACTTTCATTGGAAAGATTATTTAGATAAGAACACGGAACACTTCCAGTAGAAGAAAGAAATATGGCCATGTCTGTCACTATACAAGTAGCTGAAAGCAAGTAGTATAGGAGGAGAGATAAAATGGATAGAGTTAGAAATTTGAGTATTTCAGTAGCATTAGCTGCAGATATTCTGTATGTAGCTTATTTTGTATGTAGCTTCTACTCCTCATTTTTGTGCTAAATAACATGCAGAAAATGAAAGGAACAACTTAGCTTTAAAAACTTATTATATTATTAAACTCTAAAGCAGAATGACCACTATTGTGGTAAAAGATAAGAATTTTGGAGTTGTTCAGTTTTCCTGCTGTTATTGCACATCTTCTTTTTGCTCATAGCTATCCTATATGGAAAACCTTTTGCTATTATTGTTTCCATAAAGTAATTCAAATCATATTGCTAGTTCACGATCAGGTTTGGTCATTTGCTCACATTATGAAACATTGGTCTTTATTAATTAAGGAATCTAAAAATTTGGTATGCTTAGTATATTTGTGCATGCTTTAAACTTTTCTGGAAACTTTTCATTGTCCTTAGCTTCTCACTTTGTAATTCTTCAGTATATTGATTAAAAACAAACAAACAAACCAACAAACAAATATTTGCACCGTGGACCTTATTTTCCATTCAAAGCCCTGCCTCTGAGCCAGCACACAGTTTGGAGACACGTTTTGGCACTCTTTCTCTGGTGGATCAACACCTCAGTCGCTGCAGTGCTCGCACCAGTAAATCCGCCTCCCTGGCAGAGAGCCTCCATGCATGAATGAACACCAACAAGGAGTCTGGCCATTAGTGTTTCTGCCCTGTGAGCAAAAAGAAAAGTTTGGGGGTTGATTTGCTTGTTTGTTTTCCTTTCCAAAGCATGTTCTGATCTTTTGATGGCAAGTGCTTTACAAATAGTGAATATGATGGCACACTTCCCATATAAGCAAATAAATAAGTTTAGTAATGATAGCCTTGGCCTAGTATGCCATTAGTCTGGGCATTGTACAGTCATAATGAAGGACAGCATTTGCTCTGCAAAACTGCAAAATTAAGGGAGGCAAGATCAGACAACTTAGCAAAAAGTTAATTCCCAGGAAGGATGGGACTGCACTGGTCAGACTGAAAAGCACTCACCTTGGCACACAGGTTATCTAACCACCACTGTTGTTGGCGATGCAGAAAAGGACAATTTCAAGGTCAGGTAAGGGGAGGGATTAAAGTTTAGCTTAGTGAATGTTCCCAGAGGCCTGTTTTTCTTGCATATATATAGTGGCATTTGTAAAATCCAGGGGAGTCAATAATGTTGTCAGAGTCCATATAGGTGATGAAGAAGTGTTTGAACCCTGCACCATGACACAAAATACTGCAGCTAATGAAAGTCTAATGCCTCCTGTACCAAAATGAATATTTTTATATTAAAAGTGACTCCTCCACTGGCAGTGTGAATGGCTGTCTCATAAGAAGCTGATCATGCTTTTCCTAATCTCTTTCCTTGATGAGCTGCCTTGAGAAGTAAAGCATAAAGCTTCACCTAGGTCTTTGCTCGTTGTTGCACTAGTTACTAACAAGTAGGACCCGGTTTTGTGTATCTGAGCAATTACAATGGTTTTATACAGCTGCCAGGTCACAAAAGGAATAGCCTGAGCAACTGTCTTCTTTTACAGGAATTGATAACTTTTGCATTTCCTTACCATCTCCAGGTGCAGGCTATCAGTGAAATTAAACAAAATTGCAGCCCTCCTAAAGGTCTGCAGAGAGCTCAATAAATTGTCCATTTCTACTCATGGATCAGTGTTGTTGGAATGGTATGACTTTAGAGCCACTTTGAAAAACTGTATTTACACTATCTCATAACTGGAATCTAAGTGTTGTTGTTTGGTTGGTTTTTAATGGGCAAGGCCACTGAGAAATTTATATACATACACTAAGACAGTTTCAGAAGACTAATACTGTCTAGGTTCAAAATATATAACGTTAGGGAACTGAAGGAACTGTTCTGTAAAGGAATTAAATAACAGTTGTGATTGTCTTTTTTCATTTATCTTACTGTTGTGCCTGCAGGCCTTCCTAATTTCTTATTGTACTGACATGCTATAAAGAGGTATTATAGCTCAGAGCCTTGGTAGGGACAGGATGAAACAGTTTGGGCAACATCCCTGAACCAGGGAAAAGAACAAGAGAAAAAGTCTCTTACTGGAGCCTATTTACCCAACAGTTTGATCTTCCTATCAGAAAGGCATTCTTTAACATTTTTGAAGAACTATATATCTTTAATTTCCTCTTCTTTTAAAGGCTGATTCTTTCATAAGAAGAGGTGGGGGAAACCATGTTGTAGGAAGGGCCTGGAGCACAGGGCAACAGCCTGGGGGCAGGAGAAAGGAGGGCAGAGGGGAGCAGGGAAAACACAGTGAAGCTCTGGAACCCCAGTCCTTTGATGTGGTGGCCAAAACCATCCTGGAGACTGGGCATCTGTACAGAGGTTTCCACAGCTTGGGAAATCTGGGAGTTTGTTGAAATCAAACAGAACAGTAAGAGCTCACCCTGCAAGGACACAGTGAGCAAGGGTATTACGCTTTGTACAAACCTTTGCCTTTCTCTCTGCTGGACTTGGTCACTGCAGATCACTCAGTACTGTCTGACTTTCTCAAGTTTTGGTCTTCCTTGGAAAATTCACTTTCCGGAAGAGGTTCAAGCAAGTCCACCTCAGAGTCCTCATGTACTGGGTCCCACCAGGGTGGATCTGACAAGAAGTAGCTGACTTGCGTTCCCACAGTGACATGTAGCAAACCATTGGAGAGATGAATGTCTGCGCTAGAGGCTCACATTTTCTTGCTTCAAACATAGTTAGCTGAAACAAACCAAAAACCAGTCATAAAATATGTACGTTCTTAACGGTTAAAATAGTTGAACAAGGTCATAATTTTCTTCCTTTTTCCCCTTAACAGAGTTTCTAAAGAATTTGGATTGTTTGTGTGGGGATAGCTGCTGCTGTTGGGGGGGGAGGGGGGCTGCTTGTTTTCACTTCAAAACCCTGTAAGTGGTTTTGAAGTCATGGATGGTTATGTAAGGCAAGGCAACTGCTGAGGCAGTGCTGTGAGAGTCAGGGGTTGAAAGCTGCCCAACTGCAGCAGGAGGACAATTTTCAGACCTGATGGGTTTAAAGTTACTGGGGAATTTAAGTAATCTTTTTTTATTTTATTTAATTAATTTTATAGCCTTCTAGGGAAGGTCAATGATTGACAAACGCTTTGGACAAAAGGATGCTTGTTAGAGACATGTTTTCTTGGAAATAAAAACATATTGGTATCAAATATATTTTGAGACACTGACACCCTGCCTCTTGAGCAAGATCGTTGTGTAGTCAGATTGCCAGCACCCTGCCCCTTGACCAACACCAGCAGCATAAGCAGGGTGCTGCCCACGGTATCCATGTGAGGTATGTTCCTCTTAAATCACACTGCCATTGCTTAAATAGCATTTACGTGACTGGCTGTTGCTCCCAGGTGACCTGGACACCAACTGTCCCTGGATGCTCACAGGAGCAATACTTATAATCCTTGTGTTTGCTATCAGTGATCAGTTGATTCACCATATGGGCACCCTGTTGCTCATCTTTCCTACGAGCCTAATAAACTTTTGTTTTTAAACTCTTCCTGACATATATACTCAGAAGATAATCTGTGAAAAAACAAAGGGTAGCATATTGGTATCACAAACACAAGGAAACACTGTGGTGTCTGACATGCCTTCTCTCCCTATTTAATTTCCAGCTGCCATGTCGTGATCCTCTCAGTGCTGCAGAGGTATAGCCCCCCTCCCTAAATGGTAGCAGTAGAAAAAACTGTAGGACTGGGACATATTTGCTCCATTTGACACCCTCTTCACCTCCTGGATGCAAAATTCCCCATATTTGCTCTGTGAAGAATCAACAGTTTAAAGATAGAAATGAACGGAGAATGGAGAAAGAAGAAACCTTCTGAGACCAGCTTCATCTATGATTTTGAAAAGCCTGGTTTATTTTTAAAACGTTTACTATACTGGTGGCATTATCACAAGAGTCCTTGTTGATGTATATAAGTGTGTTTTTATATCATTGTAACTGACTTAACTCTGGTTTTGTTCATCTCCTCTTCTCTCCCAGTGGAGTTTTTATACTGTGATTTGGCTTCCATGAAGTCTATACGGCAATTTGTGCAGCGGTTTAGAGCAAAGAATTGTCCACTCCATGTCCTGGTGAATAATGGTGAGTTCTGTTTTTTTTTTATTCACATATCTGCAGGGGAAGATGTCACAAATGGAGCTCTCATCTATCACTTCACATTTCAGATAGGTTATCTGAAACATGCAGCAGGTTACAATAGGATTGCAGTAGCAGGGATGTCTTGTTAGGAGTTAAATTGCATTTTTTGCAGAGAGTCAAATGAGCAGACTGAACACTTCAGTGTCACAGCTGCTCATGATGTTATTGCAAGTCTGGTTCCTTTGCTGTGCTTTTTTAGCTCTCTAGCACTAAAAATCATGCAACTACACAAGAATCCAAGAATCTGGAATAAAAGTAAAAAAGGAAAGGGAAGCTGTACTTTATGCCAATTGGAGGACTGGGTAAAAACCAATCATATGAAGTTCAACAAGGAAAAGTGCCCGATTCTGCACCTGGGATGGGGCTACCCTGGATGTACGTACAGACTGGGGAATGAGATGCTGGAAAGCAGTGCTGTGGAAAGGGATCTGGGGATCCTGGTCGATGGCAAGTTGAATATGAGTCAGCAGAGCCCTGGCAGCCAGGAGGGCCAACCATGTCTTGGGGGTCATCAGGCAAAGCATCACCAGCTGGTTGAGGGAGGGGACTGTCCCACTCTGCTCTGCACTGGGGCGGCCTGACCTTGAATATTGTGTGCAGTTTTGGACACCACAATGTAAGAAAGATATTAAGCTATTGGGGAGTGTCCAAAGGAGGGCAACAAAGATGGTGAAGGGCCTTGAGGGGAAGCCGTATGAGGAGCGGCCGAGGGCACTTGGTCTGTTCAGCCTGGAGGAGACAGAGAGGAGACCTCACTGCAGTCTGTAACTTCCTTCTGAGGGGAAGAAGAGCTGCAGGCACTGATCGTTATGGTGACCAGTGACAGGACCTGAGGGAATGGCCTGAAGTTGTGTCAGAGGAGGTTTACATTGGATATTAGAAAGAGATTCTTCACCCAGAGGGTGGTTGGGTTCTGGAACAGGATCCTCAAGGAAGTGGTCACAGCACCAAGCCTGACAGAGTTGAAGAAGCATTTGGACAATGCTCTCAGGCATGCAGTGTGATTCTTGAGGATGTTCCTGTGCAGGGCCAGGAGTTGGGCTCAATTATCCTTGTGGGTCCCTTCCAACTTGGCATATTCTGTGATTCTTTCACCTTTATTTACTTTCTCTCCCCTTATATTTTTTCTGTATGAACACTTGTTTACTGTGGCTGTCTGATGAGCTGGGTTGGGGTTTTAATGCATCGGAAATATAACCTACTAAATTATTCAGCAGTCTCAGAGAAGTCACTGCATAGATCAAAGTGCTACTGGAAAGTTGTCCATAAAGCTGTATCCTCAGTGGTCAGAGCACAAATTAAAAGGACAATATTTATCTTGCATTCATACAATTATCAAATGAATCTCATTACTCTTGGGGATTTTAACTTTTATTACTCACATACTTGCCATCTAATTTTGTTTTATAGCCCCAATATTTTTGGAAACCAGCCCATACAATAATTTTCCTCCAGAAACCGTGCATGCTCTGCATGCACTTTCCTAAAGGGGAATTTTCACCTGTCTATTTGACTAGGGGAAAAACCCGCCAGCAAAAATTTAGGCTTCTTTTAGAATTTTTCTGCTGTTACACACTGCCGTTCTTGTTTTCCCAATCATTTGCATATATTTTATTAAGACATCTCAGAGAACAAACATGCTGTAAATGAATGGGTTTGTTACATTCGTTGGTGCCTTAAAGAACTCTTAGTAACACAAGTAAATATTGCAATAAAAATTCAAGTTTTTTTATTTGCTGATTGATATGAAACATTCATGAAATGTTCAACTAAGTGTTCATTTTTATTTGATTAGTCAAAAAAGCCTGCTATTATTATTTTAATTGTGCAGTAATTAGAGGTAGTGGACATTTAGGCCTGGTTACAAAATCTTTCCAGATTTACGTGACTAATTTTACTATTTGAAAAAACAGCATTTTGTGGAAAAATGGGTTTTGAGATCTATGTTCCCATCAGGCATCCCCTGCCCTCCACTAGTTTTCAGCATGAGCAAAGCCAGAACTGTCAGCAGGGGCTTGGAAGTCATTTGGGGGAGAAATGATGAGACTGAAGCAACTGGGAAGCCCTCTAGAAAAAAAGGCTTTTGCTCTGTCCTAGCTGCTGCTGAAGTGGGATGGAAGCAAATTGCAGTTAAATATGTCTTCTTATTCAAGAAACAAAGTTATATGAAAATAGGTCTCCTAATGGGCCTAATATGCTATGAGACCAAAGAGTGTAAGCCCAAAACTTCTTTTAAGAAAGAAGTTTGAGACTAAAGTTTGCCTGATTCAGTCTGTGTTTTCATGACTTCCAAGAAGGGCATTTGATTTCACTTACTCTTGATTACCAAATACAGTTGGCAAGAGAAATCTGTTTGAGAAAATCCTCTTAGAAGCTACAATGAAATGAATGGTCCAGATCTGCTGTTCGCTGAATCTTTAATAGAATCACACAAGCAAGCACGCCTAAAGCTGCTGTAAAGAATCCCATATAATTAGGTTAGTCTCCAACCATTACCTGGCAAGTCACCAGCCCACTTCTGAAAGGTCTTTCCTGCATCTTTTCTTTTTTTTTAATGGTCCTTTTTATTTGCTTTTGTAATTAATCTGTAGCATTTAATTTTGTTACTAGTTTCATAATGAAAGCCTGAATGTTTTCTTGGTACAAAAGAGGAAAATAAACATACCTAATGGAGGAGAAATGGCCTGATGCAAAAACCACTAATGTTAAGCACAACCAGGACAAATGCTGACATTGAGGCTATCTGGTTGGGTTTTCCCTTTCCCTTCCTCTTTCCTTTTTTTTTTTTTTGTCATTTTTTCTACTGTAACGCAATGCACTAAGGAGGATGATTCAGTCCATTGTGGACAGCAGAGCTGGAAGCACTACTCACTCAGAACCTCACCATTGCAATATTGAAATGTCTCATGGGAATGAGTCGTTGGGTATGTTGTCAGTGAAAGTGTACATGGTCAGAAAACTGTGTTATCTGGGGAAGTCATTTTGCATGACTGTCAGATGTCTTTCAAGACATCTCATAATGGCGTGGTTGATTTTCTTATGTTTCAGTGTATACATTTAGAATAGTAGGTTTCTTAGTGTCACCTTGTACTTTTTTATTTATTACTGATCTCAAAGCTCTAGCATTCTTGATATGAAGAGTTATTTTTAATTTTAGCATATGGGGAAGAGCTTGTGGGCCAGACAGCTACACAGTGCATTTGTAGGCAGCCATATGCCTTTAAGAATCTGACCTAAAATCTGTTGGGGTAATGCAGAGTCTCCATTATGTTTTGAAAATCAGACTTTGTGTGAATCTCACTACTTCTGAATCAGACCATCGTCAAACTAATAAAAATTTTCCTCTCTGTCTTCATGAAACAAAGCATTTTACTATTAAGGACTGTACCCTTTTGTTATATTTAGTGTAAAAAAGCTAAGAACTGTTACATTGCATTTTTTTCACAATATATTAGAATAATTTAATTCCTTTAAATCTAAATCTTTTATATTGATCAGTATAATGATGTTAATATGTTAGTGATCGTTCCTCGTATTATCTCCATGAATACATATCCTGTATGTATGTGAAGGTGTATGATATTTGTTGTGGGCTTGTGTGAACCTGTCAAAAAGCCAAACATTTGAAGATGAATTATGAAAGTTCTTACATTTTACAGTAATGCAAACTATGACATTAACATTGAAACATTATTAAAGACAAGTAATTTGGCGTGAATTACTGTACTATATAAATAATGTCTGACATAAGATTGTTATGAAACTCAGCAGTTTTTCTTTTTTTTTAAGGAATGTATCTCCATTACTTGCTCTCCATCCCTTGTTGAACTCAAGGATATAGTTGGAAATTAAATTAATACTAAAATTCTGAGTTTCAGAGTATTCTCCCAGAACTAAACACTCAAGTCCCACAAAAATTTCAAGAAGATTTAGGTATTCTACTTAATGGAAATTACTGCACTAGAGTCACCTCCTCTTTTTGTTAGAGCTTATTTTAGCATATACATTTAACTTTGTAATTTCTAATTTAAAAGGAAAAATTTGGTTGAATGCACACATTATTTCAGATGACAAATAAGGGCCTGTTTTTCCATTGCTATGCTTTCTGCATCAGTAATGTGCATGCTCAGCTCTTGGTTTTTAAAATAAACAAAACACATTAAAAATGCAGATAGAGTATTACATAAACTTATTTTTTTTTAATATAATGTGCTAGCACTAAAAAGAGAAAAATACTATGACACAGAAAACAAATCCATTTTCTGTAGAAAACAAGAAGTAAGCTAAATGGTTGAATTGGATGCAACACAAGCAGTTCAGAAAGCTTGATCTGACAGAAGGTCAGAAGAATATGTCTTCTAGTCCACTAATTAGCAATTGCGTGCTAATTTTTAGTTCTGTTTTTGAAAAGAACTGTGTCTTTTTACAGCTGAAAAGCATTCAGCAAATTACAGCATGTACCCTAGTGTAATTATTTAATACATTCATAAAAATGACATTGCTGTTAAAAGGCATTAGAAAGTCTGCTCTCCTCTTGTGGTTGCAAAAGGGACAGATAGTAAAACAGTTTGTAAAATTCCATGAGCAATAATTACTGTTCATGCCAGAGAGGTTTTTTCCTAACTTGAAGCCAGTCATTTTCTCTGTGTGCTAGAAATGTTTCTCAGCACCTTATAGTTTATGTTTTTGCTTATACACTGTTTACAATACTTAATTATCTTAAGACCAAGAGAGCTAACACCAAAATCACTACATATTTAGTGTTACCAGAATACCTATGGATACCAAACATGCACCGTCTAAACTCATTAACAATGAAATATCAACTTAAAGATTTCAGGCTATTATTAGCCTATTGCAGACAGATTACAGTTAAAATATTTTATGTTTAAGCCTATCTAAGCCAATTTAAAATCAGTATTTCTGAACTGCTGGCTATTTTA